AACTTATAAATCACATAAAACCTTAACAAAATTGTTTGTTTACTTTTTAACAAGTATGGTTTGCTATACCATGCAATTACTTTTAAATTTTAGTGAATGTTTGGATATAGAATTACCTTTCGGGATCGACCAGTCGATAAACATTGCCTTTTGGTTGATGCGAGCTCGGGCGAGAAGTAGCAAGTATGTACAGTTCCCCTGTAACGATAAATAAATAAATAAAATTAAAAACAGGCAGTCGGGCAGTCGGGCAGTCGGGCAGTCGGGCAGTCGGGAATCTTATTATTATTATTTTTTTTTTTCAGCATGCATAGTAACATGTTTTTCCTACCTGCTTCGTCTTCTCCAAAAGAGAGCACAAACTGCTCGAAGTTTCCCGTTAGTTTATCAGTGCAATACTTGTCATCCCCAAAACAAAGTTCACGGTGTTCCCATCTTCTTGTTTTTCGGTTTTGCATCAAAGTGAAGAAACGGCTTAAACAAATGAAGTAACAAAGATATCATAAGAGAGGAAAATCATAAACCTGAACGACTTTTAGTCATCATCACTAATTGTGTTTATCATTTTGTAATTACAATCCTTGTACATAGATTATGGAACACTATAGAGTACTAAATAGTACAAAATAGTGAAAAATCTATTGTAAAGTGAAAACAAAATATCGTGAAAAAGTTAACTATCAAAATTGTACAAATTAGTGCAAAGTGTCGTAGGTCTACGGTCTACTGAGGTCTACTGAACTTACTAATTTGTACAATTTTTTACAAGGTTTTTCACGGATATATGTTATGAGCTGTATGAGGATTGTTTAATCAGTGCTTCAGTGCTATTTAGTGCTATTTACGAAGTACTGTTGTCTGAACTCCATAGTAATAGTTTTACTTTGCTCTTTAAAGAACAGTAATACCATAATTAGTAGTAACTAGTACTTGAATAAAATTATACCAACAAACCAWTAACCAACCTGCTCCAAGTGTCCGCAAATATATAATACCCATATAGATTAGGGTTCTGGCATCCACGATAAACGTATCCTCCTAATATGGACTTCCCCACTGTATGATTATAGGCGTGTATCGGGAAAATGGTGTTACCTGTAACACGATGTGTAAATATGTTATTAGCAATAATCATGCATAGATATGGTATATATATTGTTAGACAAGTTACAGTCGTTTTTGTGCATTTGCGAGTTTTAAGTACATACGGAAGTGTCCTAATCATGTCATGAAAAATCAGCTCGATGGTTCACCATTTTTCCTTAAGTATGGTGCTCCGCTCCGCTCTTATGGGAGTCAAAACGTAGAAAAGAAACCACTTACTTAATCTAGGAGAGTAACACTGGGAGTCATCATAACATGAAAATCCCTCGTAAGCTCTCCAGCCATAGTTCCCTCCCTTAACAATAAGATCGATTTCTTCATAATCATACTGTCCAACATCACCACAGAAGAATCTCCCTCGTCCTTCTCCAGTTGTATTGTCACCACGGTCAATAGAGCACCTCCACATGTTGCGAACACCGTAGGCATAGATTTCTGGACGCGCCTTGTATTCATATATGAAAGGATTGTCTGGTGGTATTTTATATGGGGTTTTATCATCGTCTTTATCGATGTCTATGCGCAAAATAGATCCGAGAAGAGTCTCCCTAAAGTCAAACAAATATAAAGACAAAAACTGGTATCAAGGAAGTGGTGAGTGGTAAGCATTATTATATAGATGATGCTAAATTTATCTAAGTTTGTGAGATGTGAATAAATAATTCGATCATTGAGCCACGTGCCTTATACGCTTGGGATAATATAGAGAGGAGGAGAAACAAGTGATGGTAATAGCTACACTATAGGTAAGAGTTAATAAGCGAAAACGGAGGCAATAATAATAATAATAATAATAATAATAATAATAATAGTAATAATACTGCTACTACTAACAATAATGATAATAATTATAATTATGATTATTATTTATACCCTACAATATATGAAATGATTTATAGCTAAAACATAACTATCTTATAACTACTATATAACTAAGATATAACTAATATATGACTAATACATAACTTAGGTCCAGTCTAGACGTCGCATTCTGCACGCACCGAATCCAACACAAACGAGCAAACCTAAAGTTTCACTTCATTTGCACCAGACCCGACACATGCGAATACCCGACGCCCTAACTGAGTCCAATAAATAAACTAATACAGTACAAGAAATAAATATGTCTTTTAAAAGCTCTATTCCAAAAATTTGTGAAAATTCATGAAAAATAGATAATTATGAACAACAAATTAAAAGCGATCTTAAATAAATATGTCTTAAGCTTAGTTTTGAATATAGAAATACTGGGACAAAGTGGAAGCTCATTCCACAATTTCGGTGCGCAAACTGAAAAAGATCTAAAACAATATGATTTCGAAATATAAGTAGAGTGATCTAATAAAAGCACATTCTGAGACCTCAAACTACGTCTTGGAACACACGGCATTAAAATATCTTGAAGATACAAGGGTGCAAGACCATGAATTACTTAATTATAAGTATATAATAATATTTCAAAATTGATACGATACTCAACTGTTTATACTTTTGACTTAAAAATAACATCAACAAAATTTAAATATAAAAAATAAATTAAAAAACCTGCATAAGCAGGGCTGATGAATTGAACTGAATTGCTCATTATAAATGAAAAATCAATATATAGTTATTAACCGGGTTAATAACTATATATTTACCTCGCATGTATTTATAATTACAGTTATAACAAAAATAAAGCCTTGTGAAAAACAAAGAAAACCGTGAAAATTGATAAATAACTAGAGGTACATTATCTTTAACCAATTAACTGTCCTTTTATCGGTATGTAACCTTCAATTCTTGTATGATCACCATTTTTTCCGAGCGCTAGCTCTTTCTGACTCCACTCCCCTTATCTTCTGACAGGGTGTATGTGTAAGCGGCTACCCCTTCCCCATCCCGTACTAATAATAATGATATCTATTTCATATAGCGCTGTTTTTCCATATGCTTCATAATGAGTTTTGAACGAGAGGAGGTGGTTAGTGTATGTGGTGTAGGCACTGAGGGTGGCCAGTGCCAGGGTTTTCTTTACGTCCTCAGTGTTTCCTTTACGTTCCTTCGATATTGGTTAGTATTGATGAAGTGTGGAGAGACGAAACCGCCATTCAAAGTGGACATCCGAGCCACTTGAAGGTCTAACAATTAATGTAATGTAATTACGAAGGCAGCACCCTTCTTCTCAGTTATTATAAGACCCTGAGTGTTGGTCCGGCTGAGGCTTGAACCACGACCTCCCGCACAACAGACCGATGCTCTTACCAACTGAGCTAACCAGATGGCGTACATCAGCCATTGCCATATATGGACCCCCTGTCTCGATCTACTCACCTATTCAGGCCATTTCCATATTTTCCAAAGGGGTCGCCCGCAGCTCCTCCGTCACCAAGGGTCAAGTATAACATATTATCATAACCAAACAATATTGTACCGCCATTATGATTTTCGTCTGGTTGGGGGATTTCCAGAATAACCCTCTCACTATCACGATCCGCACGGTTAGGATCAAGATTTGACACCGAGAATTCGCTTAGAACCGTCTTGTGATTGTCTTTAAAATCGGCATCGCTACTGGAATCATTACTGTTTCTGCTTCTTTTCAAACGGGTTGAATAGTACACAAAGAATCGGCCATTGATCTTATACTCAGGGTGAAATGCAATGCTGAGTAAACCCCGCTCGTCGGCGTAACTCTTTGTTGATAGCACATTGATGGATATATCGAGGAACGGCCTTGATAATAAATGACCATTTGGTAATAAAACACGAATAACGCCAATCTGCTCTGCGATAAATAATCGATAAGTGCCATCACCTGAGTGGACGGCAGCGATTGGGTTACGAAGGCTACTCGCAACCTTCTCAACACACATACATCCCTGATTTTTTCCCTGGTTGTATTTGCGCCCAAGAATTCTATTTTCTATTGTTTTAACGTTAGGATAACAATAATCCATGTCCCTCAGCCGGATGCTGTGGCAGAAATTTTCCGAAGGAGTTCTTTGAGTCGTTTTCAAGAAGCTTGGTTGAGTAGTGTTTGCTGACGATGTACGATAACCTCTGTAGGTCCATTTCGAAGTACTCAAAAAATGATTGATAATATCAGAGCATTCATGGTAGAATCGAAGGCAAAATTCATTACACAGTCCAGGGGTGGCCTTGTTTAAGTCAAACTTCATGTTTCCTTCAGCTTCAAAGATATGAGCAGCGTACGGATCACATGACAGGCAAAGAACCTCTTTAAGCAGACGTTTGCATCTTGGACGAGTTTGAAGAAGAAACTTTGCTTGAACCTTTTGAAATGTTTGTTGGATTTGTGAGTCCTTTGTTGTGGTACAGCATCCAAACGCTGAATATTGAGAACAGAATTGAAGCTGTCCTCTTGACTCAAATGGAGCTCTATAATCAAGACATTGAGGATGACTCTCTACCAGTGACCAAAGTACTGTGACAACAAATGACGTTCGAAGAAATATCATGTTGTTGTTGTAGTGATGGCTTTGTCCACTCCGAAGCCCAAGAAGATGTTCTATGGCAAAATACCTAGAAATATTGGTAAAAAGCCAAAGGAAATACCTACCTACATTACGTATTTTGGTGAAACGATACTATAGAAAGTTACGTGCAGTGTTGCATTACAATACAGTGTCATGGAGAGGTCCAATTTGGTAAAGGGGAGGGGAGGGGGGATTCGCAAGAAAAGGTCATTGGCAAAGCGTCGAGGGTATGTCATGTGAATAGATAATGTGTCGAAAAATGACTGGTTGATTGATGATTGACCTTTACGGTACAGTAGTACGTACCATAAGTTTTTTACGTAGTGAAAGCCGCACGCACTAGTTTATAGAAGCAAAACTACTACTTGTATTAAAAATAAATTTATATTATCAATAAAGCATTTATAAGTAATAGCATTTTATTACTAAAAGTCTTGAAAAACATTTTTTTACGGAATAAGTATTACGTAAAAAATAACTAATTCAAATTGATATAATTCAAAAATAGTTTAACACCAATCGTTTATCATCAATCGTTACGCCCGATAGCCTTGTTGTTGAAACCCAATGAGTTACTAATATAAGCAGAAGCGAYAGGACCTGTATAAATCCCGGGTAGAAATCTTTCAAAGCTTTATTTAACTTGGCAATAGCTTCATCTGCTGTATGGCTAACACAGTATATAATTGTGTCCTCAGCAGCTGCGTACATATTGATTGAACCAACYCCGCGCGGCATCGTCTACGCCAAAGCTTGAGATCCAGGAAGGCGACGTCAGTGACAGTGCCATTGAGAATGTGATCTGTAAATTGTGCGCGAGCAGTGATGCCATGCAGTATGGAGGAAGGACTTCATCATCTTCTTAATCACTTGAACTTTATTTACTATTGAAAACGCTGCGCCTACATTTATACTTATCTTTTTTGGAAACGCAGACACTGTGGAAAGTGCATAGAGTCCTTCTCAGGAACAAATWCTTAAACTCACCTCAGCACCAAATACAGTGTTTGCATCAATACCAACCTGAGGAAAATAAAACATGTTCCACCTACTTTTTTCGCTGTCTTCACTGTAGGTTCTTCGCTATTTTAATCGCTATTTTAATCGCTGTTTCCTTTCCTAAGAATTGCACTCCAATTAGTATTACCTTTGCAACCTTGATCAGATTCGAGTAATACTTTCCTTTCGCATTTTTTTGATGCTACGGTTAACATTGTTTCTTATCGCGCACGAGCGATACAACTTCCAATGCCTCCCGCTTTTATTTCCTTTTGCTGGTAGACGTGGTCCTTCACGAGGAGAGAAGCTATGAGAGCCGGTCATCCAAGACCTAGAGGCGCCTCGGACCTTGCGTCTCCAGTGGAGTGTGAATCTCTGCAATATCCAGAAACAACTTGTCCCAGGTGATATCGTTGAAAACGACATGCCAAGGAAACACACAAACAAACAAACAAACAAACGAATGCAGTTTGACCTCAAAGTATGTACTAGAGTGACTTGTTCCAAGTCGACCTCTTTTGTCTCCCGAGGAGTTTTTTATTTGAGCGAAGCGAGAATTTGGCGTGCGTAGTCTATCAAAGTACGTACGTAAAGGATTGTGYCTTTCGATTTTAGGATACGATGACAAAAAAGATTACGAAGCCTTACTGACGTTGGCGCGCATCGTTCACGCGCAGCCTTTCTACGCTTGAGTTAAGTGCGCGCGCTCATCGTGAACACGTCATTCCAATGTTTTGAAGGGCAAATGGACATTGTACTCAGTGCCTAAAAAACACTATTCTTAAATGTCTTAGAAGACAGTTTAAGAAATATCTTTAGAAATCTTTCATTTCTCCCGTTACGAAGTACTTCAACTAGCACTTCAACGATTATTATCGTGAGATGGGGTGCAATGACCGAGTCATCTGACTCTCCTATGAAATCGGGCCCCTCCATTTTTTTTAGACTTATCTTCTTTCATCATGCGAATTGGAAATCATCAATGCAACATTGGAAACTTATTTACAGGCGATCATCTTATATGTGTGGTTTTTTTAGAATATGCAAGTTTTCAGTTTGTTAGTGGATTATCTTCCTAGCTGCTGTATTCTCGACTCTTTGTAGGAGTTAATTCAATTTATTCAACTATGTGTTTACGTCATTTGAAAAATTAAAAAGTCCCTTGAAAAATTATTTTGCGAAAAGTAAGAGTAGAAAAATAGGAATTTATTGACTATGATCAGTAAAGATATAAGGCTTTTATGATGAATCAGTTTGCGTTGGTTTTACTAGACAAGTTGAATTGGACACGTATAGTCCTAGCCTGCGTTCAGCCGGTATATTTCCTCTCGAAATAATGTTGCTAATATAGTCCATGATTTTATTTGAAATTTCAATCCCTGATTATAGAGTTTGGGATACCTGTATCGCAATTAGAAGTTGAAAGCAGCCGGAAGTCCAATCGAGTCACCATAACAAAGTTCAGTCAGCACGTGACTATCGCGGGCTCTTGTTCCCGTGTCGTGATCAAACAGGTCATTCAGTACCTAGAGATTGTGCAGAAAATATTTGAAGATGTGGCTTCTTATTATGAGCATTTTTGGGCTCATCTGTGTTTTTGTTTTCTCCTTTATATATTTGTATAGAAAGGTAAGGAAATAATGATATTGGAAAAGCCATTAATATTAGTTTGATCCATGTTTWTCTCATATGAGGCAAAGATGTCAAGTCAATCAGGACTGTACATCAAGAACTTCATCATTCTAAAGAAAGCTTACTAGCATCACTATTTGTTTAATTGTTTAATTTGTTGGATTAATTAGAATAAGGTGGTATGTTTTTTTACACAGCAGGCAAAGTATAATGATTCCGTATCAGTACAGCAGAAAATAAGCTTCGTCAGGAAGGTACTTGTAGCAATCGTCTTAACTTACATTTTTGTTCTATATTGTTATTATTATTATTTTATAAGATTTGGTTTGTGGGTGTTCAATACATTAAACCTTTTTTTAATCAAATGTTCAATCATACTGGAATATTCTTGGTGCTAGATATCCTTAAGAAAATACAGCATACTGAGGTGTTATTATATTTGTAAAGGTCCAATGTACAAGGCACTGATTTTCCATCAACACCTGTCATCATGATCATACTTTGAACCATTTCAGCCTAATAAATTATTATTATTAGATGAGTTTGATCATGATATATCAACAATCTCCAGACTGAGGCAGGTGATGGTCAAAACTTCTTGATAATTTATGACATCATGCGAAAACTAAATCTTTTTTTTGACAATGATGAGAATAACCATTTCGTCTCCTTAAAAAAGTGAACGGATAGTTTGATCTCTGCTGTGACCTTGAGTGAACTGTAAGCCATTTGGCCAACTACATTAGCAATATTTTTCTTGCACAAGAGACATGTTTTCTTAATATCACCAACACTCAGTGAAAATCACACAATCATAGTCTTGTGCAAGCCGTGCCACAGCTGTAAATTGCCAAAAAAGAGTATCTAGAAATTAAATTCTTTGAATTTTGTTTGGCAAAACCACACACTTAATTGTTGCTCATATAGCTCTGTCTATAGACACTCTGCAACGTTTTCCTTGCACTCAAAATGCCGCTAATTTTTTAAAATCATGTCACCCCTACAAGCAGCTTTACATCATTAATGTAATTATCTGCAGAAAAACCTACTGATAAAACATTTGTCAGTTCTGCCAGTTATATCAGTTCTGCCCCATCTCAATTCAAAAATTCCTTCTTTGATACCTGTAGACATTCATTTGTACTGAAATAATTTGATATTTTAAAGTATATATATATGTATATGAAAATGCAATTTAAGATACAAAAGATTTCACTTGGGATCAGTTGGCCTCCTGACTCTGATCAAGTAGCAAATAGCAGGATCAATAATTATTATGATCTGATTTGTTATTGAGCTTATGAAATAGGAATAAGTTTGGGAAAATCATTTTTCTTTGTTTAACAGATTGCTCCTGCTTCCCATGCCAAAGGATGGAATCTTTTGACTGTTGATAATGGTTTAAGGGTGTGGAAGAAAGAGATTAACTCTAACGATTCCTGGTATTCTGGACTTGTTTATGGATGCTCTGCTCTAGTCTCTGCTTCATTACAGGTATAACTCAAAGGAGGGGGAATCCCGATAGAAGAAAGGAATTAAGGAAAAAATGAAGAAACATTCTAAGAGCTGATCTGAACATAATATTCCTGCAGTTGTTGTTATTGCTGGTTTTCAATTATTCCCAAGGGAGTGAAATAACGAGTCATGGATGCTATGTTGGTTGATATAACAGAATAATTCACTGACAATTATTTTGTCAAATTAATCCAAGCTTGTGGCTATGCTGCAGTGTGCAAATATAGAATAGTCAACTGATTGCTTTCATTTTTATTTTTATTTATTGCTGTTTAGGAAATTCTGACTTCAATAAAAGATTTGAGATGCATCACAGAGTGGGATCCCTGTGTAAAGCAAGTATCACAAGTGACTGTCTCAATCAATCATGATGTTGTGTCTGTCCTTCCAGCTACATCTGCAGGACTAGTAGAAAAATCGACTAGAAAACTGATGGATCTGTTTGGCATTGATACCAATGCAATATGTTCTAGGTATATACATGTATGCTCTAGCTGTCTTGCGAACTAATATTAATAATTAAACATGGATCATAGTTGCTTTATTGTTACATTCAGAATTAACAATAAGCAAAAAGACATTTCTCATAAGYGAGAAACTATGAGTCTCAGCTAGGTGACATTAAAAAAAGTTAACATTATATACATAGGTTGGTTGAACATCAATGATGTCATGTACTACTTAATATAATTCTATCATCCAATATGTTAAGATATATGTGACCACTTTCTTTTAAACAGATAAAACATTTACTGTTTGGAAATAGCTGTGGGTCATCTTTTTTATAGCCACAGTTGATTTTAGATATTGATATTTGAATTGTTAAGCACCATAAATTGTTTAATATTTTATGTAAATGTAATAATAAATGTAGCTATCATGTGAGAAATTATCATTGGTATTATCTTGATGACAGTTTGACTTTTATTCATGTGTTTTTAAGGCACTGGAATGCAAATGAAGGATGGGTTTTTACATCATCTATGCAGCAAACCATTCCCAGTTCAGGATTGTTGTGGTGTGGTGTTATTATTCTACCTGTTGCTCAAGGTAGATCTTGTAGTTCTATCAATTACTCATTAATACCTATCTCATATTCAATAAGTTTATAAAATGACTGAGCTCTAATATGCTGTCACTCTTACTCCTGCTCAGTATCCCAAATGCTTCAATCAGAATACCCATTTATATATTTTTAAATTATGGACAATTAATGCTGAAAATAACAGCAACTACTATTGATTTTATCTTAATAAGAGTTTTAAATCCAATATTGGATAATTTGCTTTGCAGATAAATCAGAAGTGTCTCAATGCTTGGTTTCCATGGTAACAGCTCCCTCATTTCCAGGCATTTCTACTTCACAAATAAAGATGTTAACGTCGGCTCGTGTTGCAGGCCTAAAAGATTTCTTTGTGAAGGCCTCAGTGCCAAATGATAGGGTTGTCCCTAATGGTGATGTCCTGGTGGAAAGTAGTGCTGAGAAACCACTTGAGGCAAATAACACAAAGTGTTCTGGTAAATAGTTTTTAACATTTATTACTAATTGTGAGGAAAAACAGCATAATATGTTATATAGTGGATATGGCATTATCAATTATGTTGAATATAAGAAACATATGAATAATAAAATGCCATATGATTGGTTTAGCATTTTCCCAACTTTTTCTTTTTCATAGAAACTACTGATCCAGTCTCCAAACCAATAAGGGAATACAAAATGCAAGAAGTGGTGAGTTGGCAAGAATGTATTTTCATTAATTGTATGACAGCTTAATCGATAATATGCATGCTATGATTCCTAGAGCACTGCGCTCTCTTTAGTGATTAAAGCATGCAGGAAAATTTGCAAGGAAGTGTAAGAAATTAGCATCGAAAACTGTAGAAGATTTTTTCTATATAATAAAACAAATGAAATAACTTGTTTCCATGCTTCCCTTAGCTTACGTCACTTTGCATGTTGCATTCAGTTATATTGCACACATGAAGTACTAAAAGAAGTGTCATTCTTACATCACTTTTCTTGTGCAGTACAGTTAATGAACGGAGCATGGAAAATTGTGTTTTATTCCTAAGATGGAGTCTTTTGCAAATACAGTTTTATAGATTAAATGTTCTGTTTATGGTATCATGCTATGCAGTTTTTTTTAAAAGTGATCAGTGGGTTATAGGAGTAAAACTTGAAACTTGATCATGTTGAATTGTTTCCAGGGATCAAAAAATTGGTCAAATCATAGTTAATAGACGGGAACTATGGTCAAATCCAGTGTATTTGACAATGCTATACAGTATTATCTTAAGGACGTTCATGGGCAAAACTTCCCATCATCAGATTTTTTTCAATTTTTGCATGATTAAAGTACATCATACTAAAAGATAAATAAGCAAATAAAAAATGTGGTTCCCTGTCTTCATCTAGCCATCGGAATGCCTGGAAGTTCACTCTTTTTATGGTAAAAAAAAAAAAAAAAAAGAGCAAACAACCTAGACATTATGGAAAGCTATCAAAAATAAGCCATATTTTACTGAAAAAAAATAAATGGATCGTCCCTATTTTTCAAAGAACTCTAGAAATTATAATCAAATAAGTAGTTACTTAAAATGTTATTGGGCTACAAGTGTGGACTTGAAGCCTTCATGCTATGTGAAATTCTATTCCAATTATGCACAATATATGTATTTTGATTTGATCCCATCGTCAAATGTTTTAAATTTTATATTACTTTCAGAAAACAAAATAAAAAAAGGGGTCCCAATTATATTTTAGAGCTATCAGAGATTTAAGATGTTTTCATGATATTTTGCTCATAAATACATGTACAGTGGAATGACGTCATCAAGATGAGCGCGAGCTCACTAAATTCTTGCGTAGGAAGGATGAGCACGAACAATGCTCAGGAACGTCCTTAAGCCTCTAAAAATTTCTGTCCACCCCCCCCCCCCCMCMCCCCMCMYGTTGCCCMTTTKTTTTTTGTTTTTTTTTCACTGCTTGGCATGGGTTGGCTGTGCTTAAAGTTTGTTTGGGGTTAGGTGATAGGAAATAGATATTTTCGTTTCCTCTTCCAAATGGAAAGTTACAAGTAACTTATATCAGAGTTAAGAAAAATACACTTGATGTAAGGATTAGTATATGTAATAGGACTCCATGCTGTCCAATTAAGAAATAATTGGACAAGGAAAATTCCGAGGACTGACATAATTGAGGCCGACTAGATAGCCAAGTCCAATTTGGCAGTCAGAGGAACTATTCGAGTTTTATTATTTCTTGATTGGGAAGCATGAAATCCCGTTACCTATTAATCATATAGCTGCCTAATTAATCCCATATCAACAAGACCTGTCCAATTAAGAAAATAATTAGACAGTTACCTATATGGGATGAATGAGAAGCTGTATAATCAAGATAAAATAATTGATTCCCTTCAGAAAGTAATTGCATTATGTTTATATTTTTAGGGAGAATTCACTCATGTTTCCATGTCTGATACTGATAAAAAGATTTCAAATGAGTAAGTGAGCTTTTGATGAATGCTAAATTTCATTAATTAACAATTAAAAAAATAATTTATTGATAGTTCTTTTAGTAGCTAAAAAGGGTTAGTTACGTCAAGATTTCATACAATCCTACACAATATCGTGGCCATAACCCGGGGGGGGTACTCCCCTGCCAAACAGGGTATGGTTTTCAGTGATTCTACTCTGGAACATGGTATATAAAATCTCGCTCGCTCTGGAACAGGGTATAAATCATGCTCTCTCCTCTCTGGAACAGGGTTTTTAGGGATCTTGCTCTGGAACAGGGTCAGGGTTCAGAGGGCTCAGTGGCACCTCCCTACCCTAAACATGCAAGAGTACCCCCCCGACCCCCCCCAGGGGCCATAACACAAGTTAACTTAACTAACACATGAAATGATGGGTATAACTAACAAGCCTGATTGAAGGCTAGCATAACCCTACAACAAAATACTAGTCTATATATTTACAAATGGTTTAAAAAACATTGTGAATAAGCAAGAACATTACCTACTAGATAAGAATAACAATGTTTAAACAGGAAGCTCTTATCACCGAGGTGTTTTTCAGAGAGGTCCTGTAAGAGTCTCTCTCACTCTAGTGCTTTCTGGGTCCCATTAACTTGAGTGTTCTACATATTATGGAATATTCCATAGAAAAGTTATGATTTCACCTTAAAAGGGTCAAATTTGTAAAAATAACACCCCAAAATCATTGTCAGTAGGGTAAGCTAGTTTGAGTGTGGAGATAATCTACAACCTGCCATCATCATATATTTGCACCTTGGATAGCAAAAAAATGATAATAAATAAATAGATACATTGTCATGATTTAAACACAGAGACAATTCTTCTTTTCATTCATAGAAAAGAAGAAATAACTACGTGTCAATTCTGTCAATCGAATGACTGTACAGTGTGTAATACAAGGGAGGATCCAGGGGGAGGGTCGGGGGGTCGCGACCCCCCTGTCATTCCTGAGGTCAAATGGGCTTCCTGTGGTAAAAATGCGACTGGGATTCCTTTGCCCACAAAATTTACCCCTGAGACCCCCCCTTCAAAAAAACCCTGGATCCGCCCTTGTAATACTGTGTTCTTCAGAGGCAGTATTTCATTTTCATTGAACTAATGAATTACATGATCTGAAAAAGTTTGAAACGTTAACTATTAACAGCTGTTTTCATTTTGTTATTTTATCATTTATAAGTGTTCGGGTAAAGGAAATACTAGAGATTTCAATGAAGGCATATAATGGAAAAACTGGCGCAGATGGCTGGTCACTGATTGGAAACATAAAGTGAGTACCTTTGGTTGTTCGATGCATTGATCCCATCAATGGAATTATAGGTATAACTAAATAACAATGCAGTAGAATCGGCGATAATATTTGTTTTCGTGCTGCACTGTGGGTTAAGGACTAATACATGTTTTCTTTTCGTCTATTGCTTTGATTTGTAGGGATGTAGAGATCACTAAAAGAATAGCTCAACCAGGAGAAAAGCCATTTGACACACTGAAGGGTGTCGGATTGGTAAACGTTCCTATTCATTATGTACTTGCTTATGCATTCAATTTAGAATATAGAGGACAGTGGGATGACATGTTTTTAAAAGGTGGGTGTAATATTCTGTTGTTTCAGATATCGTTTGCATCTGGGTGTGAACGCACAACATTGTTTTAACTTGTGACAAATAGACCACTTTTAGCTTAGCCAATTTATACTCGATTGTAATAGCTTATTTTCGACTTTACTTCACATTGGCTGCACGTTTTTTCTCTCTCTATTTCTCGTGTTAATGTTTGTTCTTCTTTCTGGTGTTGAAGCTTCCGAGATCCTTAGCCTATGCGCTTTGATTTTTGAAAACCAGTAGGCGCTTGCTTTGAGTGATATATGGTGTGCAAAACGAACGACTAAGCAAATATAATCTGTTTGATCTGTCGAAGCCGGTAGCATGATATAGCATGAGGGGCGTTAGTTAGACTGTGCATAGTTAATAGAGGAGAACTTAACCAGTTCCCCTCTATTAACTATGGACTGTGTAATTGCGTGCGCCTCTGTAAATAAAGATTATCGTATCGCATCGTATCGTATGATAACTACTTACCTTGTATTTGCAGGTGAAGTCGTTAAACAGCTAGATGGACTTACCAGAGTAATGCACATTTTTGTTAATTCACTAAATTTCTAATTATATCTTGTTTATTTGCCTCATATCTTCAATGTCTCTATCGATCAGTTTGTACACTATGAACTCTTGTGTTGTTCTTTTCTGATGAAATATATTTCGCCCAACCGGCCTCGTCATTTCAGTTTGTATAGAAAATAACATGAAATGTTTTGAATTTCCATTTTAGTATTTTATGATTTGCCATATTGTTGATGACCATTTCCACTTGGTTGGATGTGCTTTTAGCAATTCCTTGAGTATTGTTTGTTTATCTATGAATAGATTGTATGGATGGAATACAAAGCTGTTTGGCCAACTACTGGGCGAGACTTTGTTAATCTTGTCGCTCTGAGGGAAGTCAATGAAGGGCTTTATGTAGTGGCAGCTGCTGGCGTAAGTTTTTTAAATGTTTAAGCAAATGGGTTGGGTATTCCGCATTCATCACTGAAATAGGCATAAACCACCTAAAATACGCACCCCCTGAATCCCCACCAAAAATACACCCTCTTTGGAACTTAAAACCCCTTCCAATAATACGCCAGAAATATAAAGAGGCTGTTCTTTGACGGTTGCTCCACGTTCTGCCACCATTACACAATCAAGTAAAACCTACTCGACCATAAGGACGTCTTAGTAGAAGACTAGGAGAGTTAAGACCACAGTGTAAAGGCAAAAGTATTGCGCCACGCACGTCAGCCTCAACTCGGAGATAATAGATGATGATGGTTTTTTTTCGGTTATCAATTGTTGTCCCTTTTTCCCAAACACAGTCGAGGTTATATTGCATCCTGTGATTCCTGTGCAGATGTTGATTTACTTGTTGTTTTTTTTTGTTTTTTTGTTTGTTTTTTGTCTTGTTTTTTTTTGTTTTTTGTTTTGTTTTTGTTTTTTTTAAATTCAATTTTCAGTGCGATGATTCTAATTGTGGACCAAAGAAAGGACTTGTTCGGTAAGGGATACATGTAACAGGAGACTTGTCAACTACATTTTTGCTTCTGTTTTCCATTTCATTCCTCGAATGAAGGATTTTGCCTAATTAGCTACAGTAACCGTCCGATCATTCCAACCTCTGCTTCAATGACTGTTAAGCATAGTAAAGACCGATGACCGCGATTGATCGACTGTTTCATCAGTTTTAATTGAAGTTTCGCCAATTCTCCTGACTATTATTATACCTTGATTCGTTTATTGGTACTGTTTTTGAAAAAGCTACATTTAATGACTGATTGAGTGTTCTTTGAAAGTTTGGTGGTGGTTTTTCTCTGTGTTTTTTTTTTTTTTTTTTTTTTTTTTTTTTTTTTTTTTTTTTTTAGTTTTATTGCTGCTGTATTTCCCCCCTGAATTACTCGTTTTATTGCTTTTATCCAGAGGTGAAATACTGTGCGGAGGGTTCTTTGTGAGAGAGGTTAGTTCTGATCCTCCTTGCTGTCAAGTCACCTATATTTCACGAGTAGATTTGAAAGGTGAGGCACCATGATGATATTTTGTAGCACAGTTCAAGTCCCTGTACTAGAGATGTTGCCCGTCAACTCCATACCACAATGAATGCAGCACTATTCTGTAAACATCTCTCAAAATGGGCACACATTATTATATCCAAAAAAAAAAAGATACACCCAGCAGCAGATCTAGGGTATCAGTTTAGGGTGTTTATCACAGAAACACACAGTATAATTTGTTACGCATATACATCCCCGAATATCAGAGGCATTCCTGGTTGGAAAAAGGTCAACTTTCTCGATTCAACTCTATCAGCCACAACTCATTTTTACTGGGGCACACATCTCTTCTAAAGTAGACTGGAAAAAAACCTAAAGTCCTAGTTAGACTATAGTTATGTTTACATTTTCGTTTGTTTCTATAGGAAACCTGCCTCCTAGGTTAGTTAATCGAGTGACTCAGTCTCAGCCTCAAGCTATAGCAGTCCTTCGTGAGAAACTAGAAACTTTGTACAATAACGAGAAAAAACAGGCTACAGACAAGGAAGAAATGTCTGTTCTACAGAAACAAGGAGTTGATCTGTGGGTCGAGCTGATGAAAATGAGAGAAATGAAAGAAAACGGACAGCTAGGAAGTCAGCGTCAAAATTCAAACAAATCTCCAAGACTCTACAATAAGATTCTCGAAAGTATGGAGTCTCTTGAGAGCAGGAGAACGGCCGACGAAAAATCTCTGACAGATGTATCGATAGAGAACGATCAAGCAGAAGAACGAAGTGTGGTATGTTTGTGAATTACTGGAGCAACTATACTATTTCAGTTCTAATTAATAACTCAAATCCACAATGTGTATACTTCAATGTGTACAAGCACAGTTAACTATGCTACAAGTATTCGGTACATGTGTCTTTATGACTCTTAGATATATTGTATGTTATGTGATCATTCACCTAATTGAAAAAACCTAGTCGGGTTCGAGAAGGTCATATCATCAAAGCTAAGACCGAAAAGGATTTTGGGTACTCCGAAATGTGTATTATATTTGCATATATACATGTAAAAATGCACAGTAGAGCAAAGTCGGTCGACCTAGATTAACAACATGCCAAAGCCATGATGCATAAAATGTGCACAGAAAGGGAAAACTGCAGTACGCATGAAATTAGCATAATTGTTTGTCTTCCCATGCTCCCCTTAGGTCTTAGCTTTGATGATATAACCTTTTTTTGAATCCGACGTTTTTTCAATTAGGTGTATATGCATTTGGAATTCGAACTGTATATATAAGCTGTACTGAAAACCAGGACTGACTTRTCATAAGACTTGTTAATGAATATTAAAGCAAGATTAAGCAAGATTACATGCAATATTTACTTGTTTTACAGGAAGTTAGTGGAGCCCAAATTAATGAAGAAAACATGAACCTTCCTTTCGGTATGTCGTCGCTTTAGATATAATAGAACTTTCTGACGTGTACTGAAACTGACCTATTCGTTTAGATACATTGATGAACTAAAAAAAACATTTGCATATTTTAGCAGGGGAAACGTTCGCACGCCATTTGCATACAAACTGCAATCATTGGTTTCTTTTCATGTTTTATCTATCAAATATTCGTTACTTGGTTTATTAGTGAGCTGGTCCTCGTTGTGTGATACGATAGTTGTTGTACCAAGAAGTTGAGTTCAAGCGACCATATGACCTTTTTTTGAGATTAGTTTTCTGTTTGCTTACAGTTGACAGACATCAAATAGACTACAAGACTCTAGGAAACCAGATTGCTGCTACACTCATAGGAGAGGTAATTGTCCAAATTGTTTCCATATCTTATTCGGTAATCGTGTTTTACTATATGACTTGTTCGCTGTAGGTGCTTTTGGCGTCCAAAGCAGAAATTTCAATGTCTGAAGATCCTGGTCAACAATCTAGTAAGGAAGGTGAATGGAGGTGAGTATGTTTGTAATACTGAGCACAGGCAGCCCAAACAAGGTTCCTGTGTATGGTTTATAAGGGAATGTATGGGAGTTATGATAAAGTTACGAAAATAAAATGTTTCACTCAACAATTTGCTTCAAAACTTGTTGCAGTCGTTGCTTTTTCCTTGTCCAGTCTTCTGGCGAAGTTTCAGCGCGATTTGAGGCCGTTTAGTGGGTTTTTTCAAAATCCGCTCTTCTCTACCTAAATAATGGGAAGGCTGGAGACTTAGCACCCGATATCGACTACATCACGCTAGAAAATCCAAAAAAAATCTCTCTYTCTCCCCTTGAACCGCAATAAAAATGCCACATGTCAAAGGAACGATAATTTCTCTAACATAACATGTATTCTGAATGCCACCACGCCAAATATTTCCAGAAAAATCCTGGCTTAAAGTCGAATAGTTGAATTCTTCTACAGCGTGTGATCGATGGTGTTCAAACGGCCGTTGTAAAGCGTGAGCGGGTCACCTTACATACTGCATTCCGATTGGCAACAAACCCAAGTCTGTCGGGGAAGGGGAATTTGCTTCGAGCTTGGTATCACGTTCGGCCAATCAGAATGCAGTATGAACACCATCGATCACACGCTGTAGAAGAAGTCAACTATTCGACTTTAAGCCAGGATTTTTCTGGAAATATTTGGCGTGGTGGCATTCAGAATACATATTATGTTAGAAAAATTATCGTTCCTTTGACATGTGGCATTTTTATTGCGGTTCAAGGGGAGAGAGAGAGAGATTTTTTTTGGATTTTCTAGCGTGATGTAGTCGATATCGGGTGCTAAGTCTCCAGCCTTCCCATTATTTAGGTAGAGAAGAGCGGATTTTGAAAAAACCCACTAAACGGCCTCAAATCGCGCTGAAACTTCGCCAGAAGACTGAACAAAGAAAAAGCAACGACTGCAACAAGTTTTGAAGCAAATTGTTGAGTGAAACATTTTATTTTCGTAACTTTATCATAACTCCCATACATTCCCTTATAAACCATACACAGGAACCTTGTTTGGGCTGCCTGTGTACTGAGTAGATATAGTCTCCCTCGCATCCGTTTTTAGTGTCGGTCGTCACGCAACGCTCCCTAACGGATGTGAGGGAGACTAGAGTAGATAGAGCAATGTACAATTCTGTGACCTATCACTTTTCCGTTTCATTTTACTTCATACTTTGAAACATCCGCTATACTTAGTGGAGGTTCTGATGGCGTGGAAACCTTGCCTGTACGAAGTTAACTTATTTTTTGCTTTTCAATTATCTGTAGAAAATAGCTCGTTAAAATAACATTATTTTATATTTCTCTCTCTTTCTCTTTGTTTTCTTTCTTTTTCTTTAGTTATCAAAGTATCGAAAGGGACGTTGTTATTCTACGAAAAATAAATCCTGGAGAAAAAATACACAGGTGAATTTTTTTTTTTTTGAGACTTTCTATTCAAGATTGTGTTCCCCTCCTTCATCACCACTTGACCTATATGTATCATGTATATACGCCATTTTAAAATTTAAAGAAACTTGAAGGGCAACGACGCGAGAACAGGATCCCGGAGTTTTAGGAAAGGAAATAAGCCTCCATTTTTTCCCAAAATATTGATCGAAAGATTGAAAGGTTACTTTCTTAAACAAAAGGTGGTTTCCATAGTCAGTATAGTAGGTCTACAGACTGAAGTGTTAACATAAAATCACCTTAAACTCTGTCGTTTTTTTTGTCTCGAAATTTTGTAGGATAAGCTATATTATAAGATTTGTACAGGGTTTTTGACGGAATGCAAGGTGTGGATCCGCATAATTCACCCCGTTCCGCATAATTCGTCCAAATCTAAAGAAAACTCAACGATCAAGAAGAAAATGTATCGTAAATCCCTCGATTTTGGTCAAAAAGGAATTTTTATAGTTTAAAACTCGATTTATTCATACGCCATCTTGTTTTTGTTAAAAATACAAGGCGGCTTTAGTTAGAAATCTTGAAAGGTACTGGTAACTAGTAATTTTCAAGATGGAGCCGGCTCGTCGCTATTTAGCGTAATTTGTTTTGCTTGTTGGCAATAAATAACGTATTCTGTCAGAAGCCCTGATGGTAAAGTATACTTGATAATGACTCAGCTTTGTTTCTAGTTTTCTTGGTAAAGGTATGATTAAAACCAGTCCTACAAATGTTTGGAATGCTGTGAAGAACCACATGACTAGACACGTATATGACAAGACTCTAAAGGTTTGTGCATGGCTATCTTATTTTGTGCATGGAAAGCTGTGGGCTCGAATCCTTTTATTCGCATCCTTAGGAAGGGATGTAACGCCGTTTCCATTTTCTCCCTTCCTTTTCTTAACCTGAATTTGATATAGTTAAGAGAAGAGGATCGTTACCTGGTACGCTATTCTGTTCTTTGGGGCAAGTATTCGAATACAGGAATTTCAAAAAAAGGTTGATGAATGGTTTATTTCATGTTGCTACTAACCCCCGAAATACACTATGGGCGATGTGAATCCAGTCAGTGAAAGGTCATAACCGTTCTCATTTTTACGAGGGTAGCACTTCATAGCCAGTGGTTAACAAACCTGTGGCCCTCGTTCCATGATGGGATTGGAATTTAGGAGTTGATTTTTATGGAGGAAGGAAAACCGGAGAACACGGACAAAAACCCTCGAAGCACAGAAGAAAACCAACAAACAACTGTACTCACATGAATATGATACATTTCAAGCTTGGAAAACAACATGCTACATGCAACATGCAACAAAACCTTCACTGACCTTTACTAGAAATAGCTACATGCAGCCTTGGATATAATAAACAATCCATACAATTACAAACTCAATGAATTTGTGTCATTTCATGTCAAAAATCAAGAAACCTACTAACTGTTTTGTTTTTTTCACACAGAAAACGAAAATCCTTAAGCAAATTGACGAATCCTCAAAACTCCGTAAGTATTTATTTTGTTGATGACTTCGGTCGCAAAAATTAAACTTTATAAACTTTATATTTAAAACACTTCGCCTTTTATAACCAAACACAAATTTAGCGTATTATGTCACATTTTCTAGTCAATTGTCAATGTGTTTATACTTTTATAATATTTTGTTATCCCTATTTTTTTTTTCGCATTGCTAGTGTATCTGCATCATGAGACTGCTCAGTGTTTTGTCAAACAGGCCAGAGACTTCGTCTTATTAGCTGTTGATCGTGTCGAGGTAAATGAATGTCTAACAAACAAACAACCTTTTAGCAAAGAGAAGCTAATTAAATAGAACCAAAAAGCAAGCAAAAAGCGAAATAAACTTGGAAAGACAAGTGGATTAAAAAAATTCTATGCGGGGGATGAAGCAAGGATAAGAATAAGATAAAAAATGAAAGGAAAAAAGGAATAAAGATGTGAAAGTGCTGGGGTTATTTAGATAGGGTGGAAAAAGCATTTTCATTGACTTCTGCCTTACTTTTGCTTGTAGCCGGAGAGTTATGTTGTTGCAGGAGTCTCTGTTGACGCTCCAGAATCACCTCCAGTAAAAGATCTTATTCGTGGCAAGGTACTTTATATCATGTAGATACCTTATATCTTATAATCGGTTTTCACGTGACGTCATCAAAACACGAAAATCTAAACTATACAACGTATAAGGCATTTCTCAAGTAAGAAATTTTCTTGTAAATCACAAGAAAACATTTCGAGTCATTTTGATGTTTGGTTCCTGAGTTATGAAGGTTAAGTTTGTGTCACCCAATACCTTCACGTGTATCTAAATAGCGTTGAAAACATTAGAATAATTTTACAATAGCTGGAAGATTTTCCCTTAGGCACGTTTACAATATCTAKTTAAAGTATTTTTCAGTAAAACAGTTGAATATCCCATTATCTTAAGCTTTTGAAGTTTCGTCAGCCATGTTGTTCAGTGCATTAACATGGATCACCAAGATGGCCGCTGTTTGCATTTTTTTCAGAAATAGACCGTTTTGTCAAATTTGTGCACATCCAACTTGACGGGCCACAAAAAATGAAAAACGCAAATTCAGTAAAACTGAGAAGCCAGTTCTATAGAGGAAAATAATCGATTTTATGAATTCTTATCGAAAAATAATAATAATGATGATGATGATGATGATGATGACGATGATGATAATAGCAATGCATGATAGTACTCGTGTTCTGGTGTCGTGGCCCGTCAAGTTCCTTAAATTTAAGAGGCGCACGCAGCCTTGAGAAAACGGTCTATTGTTTCGTGTTTACTCTCCTCTAACCCCGCGACGTAATTCTTTACAGCCTTGAAATTTGATCAGTATATGTGTATTGTACGCTTTACAAGACTATGGAACAGTGTTATTGTATTTTAATGCGAGATTGACTATGGCTTTTGAAAACCAAGAATAGGCTGAATATATCCCAAAGAAGCCAACAGTTTAAGCTCTCTGATATATCATGTCTAATAAGTATATTTTAAATACTTTTTATCAGGTGTACGCCAGTGGATGGGTGATAGAACCTGTTCTTCAGGATGGTCAGTTATACAGTATGGTGTCGTATTTGTCACAGGTATGTTTAAGAAAAAAAGAAAGAAAGAAAGAAAGAAAGAAAGAAAGAAAGAAAGAAAGAAAGAAAGAAAGAAAGAAAGAAAGAAAGAAAGAAAGAA